GCATGGGCATGCAAGAAAAGTTGCAAAGTGCAATTTTAGGAAGACCTGTATGAAATTATGTACATATAGTCAAATGAACCCACCCGGTCAGAGTAATATCCTTTGGCAGTGTTGACAAGTGAAACAGGTTTGACGGGTTTAACTGAGGCTGAAAAAACTGCTACGTCAGTCTCGGTGCGATGAATTGGCAAGTACTTAAGTGGGCTGATGTGCGACGCGGATATGTGATGACTGTGAGGACAGTGGGAACTGTGGCTAGTGAGTTGGTGGTGTAGAGATACGGGTAGGGGTGGGGTTGGAGATGATGGTGGTAGGGGATTTTTCAATTGGTGGAGGTATATTTGTTGTGATGACATTGCGACGAATTCCACAGCTGTGAGTAATCTCATGACCAGTAAGACCCGTGCGACACCAAAAGGTTTTGGATCATTGTTAGCAAATGAGCCGTCTTGGCTTTGTGTTAACCCGGCCTAAGATGATAGCTCTCTGGAGATCGAAAGTATGTCCAGTTTCTCCAACGTGTGTTGCTTGTTGAGAGTTTAGATCTGGCCCCCGAGTCGTCGATTTGTGCTCTTTTAGGCGGGTCTGCAATTTCCGCCCAGTTTCCTAACCTAGTTGCAGTCGTCCTCATTGCAACTAATTTTGTAGACATCTGCTGTGATTTCAGCGGGTGGAAGTGTGTCCCTAGTTTGCATCAGAAGGCACCGTAGTGTTGCCTGGGGTCAATGGGCTATGCCTACTCTGGTGGGTTGTAATAGTCGAGAGACCGCCTCATAGACCCCTTTACCGTAGGGAATGGCCCTTCAGACTTCGGGTTGCTGCTCATTTTGCCGTCGTCTGTGTGCCCGACACCTGCTTCTCTCAGTGAAATTCGGCGCCGTCTGATGCAACCTAAGGACCCATAGCCACCCACTGAAACCTCAGCAGTTATCTACGAAATAAGTTGCAATGGGGGCGACTGCAACTGTGTTAATGAAACCGGATGGGAATTGCAGACCCGCCTACCAGAGCACAAATCGACCACTCGGAAGCTAGATCCAATTTCT